CATTTTTGAGACCCAGTTGTGAACTGTGTTGATCGCAATGGGACAGGACTGTATGCAACAGCGGCCATGTTAGGTTTGTTGAAAGAGAAGTGCTGTTGGAAATGAGGAACTCCATGTTTCCTGGTGCAGAAGTTTCTGACGACCGAATTGGCCTTTGACGATGCCTTGCAGGTTAAAGAAGTTGCACTAATTCACAGCGAAGGGATTCTGGCTGGGGAGATGAAACATGGCCCGCTTGCTCTTGTGGATGAGACTATCCCTGCCATTGTCGTGGCCACCAAAGACAATATGTACAAGAAGATGCAGTGCGTTGTTCAGCAGCTGTGTGCCCGTGGTGCTCGTCTAATTGTGATCTGCAATGAAGGGGACCAAGAAATCAGAGAACATGTTGACAAGGAAGCCATGTTCATCGAGGTAGGCCAGTGGTCCACTGTTGGGTTGCAGTGGCGGACTGTAACTCCTCACACCCCTTGCGGCACTTACTTGCAGTCGCTTTCTAAATGGCGCAAGTGTTATGTTTTGATAGAATGGTCCCGGGTTGCCTCGAGCTGGTCACTCTGCATTTGTTGGTGCCTCATCAGGACACACTTCTTGCCGCTGCTGTAGCTGGCGTGTTTGACTACCATAGCATATTGCGACAGTCACAAACTTAACATTACACTTGATGGGGTTGATAGATTCGCAAGGAGAATGTTTTGTTGAGCCAACCATGCCAGCGGAGAAAGGATGGAAGTTGGCGTTGGGCATTTGATGCCTGCTGTCGTTGCTAGTTCTCAAACCGACTGACCTGGAACAGTTCCTGCAAATGCACAGTGTGACAATGATGGTTTTGTGGCAGTCATTTACCTCACCAGCAGCAATCCTGTGTGGACCAATGGTATCTAGGGTGCGCTACTTGTGCGAAATTGTTGTTCCATTCTCTTGCCCCTGGGATGCTTACTGGTGCTCATATTCATGCCGATAGCTGTATCTATGGATGAGTCACGCATTGTAGTGGGTTGACATTTCCGGTCCATGTGCTGCTGCACATAGCATCTAGTTAGTTGCAACGTGGTGCCTTGTTGTGTGACATTGGGAGCAAAGTTTGATGTCAGAAACAGCTCAGTGTCTGGCATCACATATACACTGGCATGGATATGCTACAAGCACTGATCCTGTGGGCACTGTTGCCATATGTTCAATTGCCTATCATGGGTTCTCTCTCTCTTCTGTCGATTGTGTTGACAACTGAAAGGTGATAATTGGTGCAGCTACATCCAACCAGTGATTGTTGAGTTCCCATAGGCATGGTGTGTATAACTGACAAGCAGCGTGCAGCACAGTGTGCAAAGCTGCTTTACAGACCTCGTAACGTTGAAGGAAACAATGATACACATGGGGGCCACGGCAAAGTCGAAAGAGTCAGATTATGGGATTTGTGAATCCAAAACCTGCCAATTGTGTATTGTGGACCGTTTAGTTGACTATTGGATGTGTATCATATCAGCATTGTATTGGAATAGAGGTGTCCGCCCCAGAACCCACACTTTTCTTGTGGCACTTGTTCCAGGTCCCTGCTACGGTGGATGCCCTGCAGCCCGTCATCAACATCGTGGTTCTCCAGCTGCTGAGTTACCACCTGACTGTGCTGCGGGGCTTGGATGTCGATCAACCGCGAAACCTTGCGAAGTCCATAACAGTCACGGAAGAGATTTTGCCTGCGTGAGGCATGGGAGACGCAGCTGGGTCATGCGCTGAACCCGTGTGGTGTTCAGATTGTCGGCAGCAGCAGTCCTGATGGAATGGCAGACGAGCCCGCTGGAGGCTAGCAATGAATCTGTGGTGCGTAACTGTGATGCGGCAGCGGTTGGACTGCGCTTGCAGGCAGTCAAGGGCAGGTTGTGGGGCATAGCTTGGCTGCATCCAGAGCTTGGGCCGACGTGTGGTGCGTATTGGTACATTGCACCACATGTCGCATCTTGTGTCGCTGGGAGAAGCATGCGCAGACCCAGTTTGCCGGTCAAGCACATGCTTAGGTTCGTTTTCGTGGCTTACACAAGGTGGTGGATTCGACAATGATGATACCCACAGAATCTCTAACTGGTATTTCCATAGTCAACATGCATCTGTCTTATGACGATATGAGTTGCTATCAAGGAGATACTGATTGATGGGCTGCTGAGAGGATGTCAAGGACAATCAGGCACCATGGTGCCTCATGCATGACGAACGCTGCCGTTGTAGCCGTGCTGCACTTTGGGCCTGTGGAGTATGTATTGCAATAAACTGCTGGTTGTGGCCTCGTCCGGTGGTGAAATTCCAAACAGGGTTCCTGTCGAGGATTACCCCTACCTGGCCATGGCCTTGCAGTTGACGACGGACTCATGATCAATTGAGAACCTCCCAAGGCTGAAGGAGTCCATGGCAGTCGCCTTCGATGTTTGAATTATACCCCAGACATTAACCAAACCAAGCCCTGCCCTCCAGATTGAATCAAACAGTGATGCAGCACGAGGTGCTTCTCAAGTGCGTGCAGGGGCCGTGCGATATCTGTCAGAATAGTATTTTCGCCATGGGTTTGCGCTTGAGAGCATGAAATATTTGTTGAAGACTGCCCTATGGACCAAAATCGGAATGTCCAACAGTATTGGTCGGATGAGTTGAAATGAAGAGATTGTCTGACAGAAATTCAAGCATGCATGGTGGGTGAGTAAGGGGGGGGGGGGGCGGACTTGCGGATTGGGGGGCTCCATTCTGTTGCACCCCATTTACTGTGTTACATGTACGCCAGCTTGGAATGGAGGCGCTCCACACGACCCCCGCTCGATATGTCAACAGCCCATTGTACGGCATCCTGTGCCCTCCTGGAAGCATACGTACTTTGTTCCCTTGGGAACATGCCGCGCGCACGAACCTCGAAGACTCGTTTGATCCACGTCTACCTTTCGTGCCTTCTTTGGTGTCAGCAAAGACGCTCACCATAATTTGGGAAAGTTGAGCGGTGTCAGACTGCGTCGGGCAACCTTCGACTGGCTTATGCGCAACACACTTGTGCTGTCCAAAAGAACATCCCAACGGCAAACTCGTCGGGCCCCTCGGTGCCCTGTGCAAGATTCTACGAGCGCTTTTGCTCCACTTCGTTTTCCCCAGCGATCAGACATGTCAATGATCCTGCATGGACATGGATTCACTCCACAGTCGTCATTCCAGTGGCAGAACTGGTGGCTGCACAAACTTCCACACAAATATCCCGCCTTCGGTGCCAACACTGATGATTCGGGACTTGTCGTGAGTGATGGCAACCTTAACAACGGATCCGCTGTGGGCCACGCCGGAAAAATAGCAGTGGCCTTCATCGTAGCCCCATAACCTGACGATCTTATCGGAGCTCCCGCTCACAATGGCCGTCCCATCTGCATCAATGGCAAGTGTGTTGATGGGCTCGTCGGACCCTTCCATTATGCGAATGGCTTGCCCGTCGAAGGGATCCCAGTAGGTGATCTGCAGAGCCATGGGCGTCGTTAAGGCTTCCTTGACAACTTGTTTGCCCACCAAGTCAGCAGAATACAGTCGAGCTCACGATGCACGCATTTGCAATTGCCACACGAGTGGACAGCACAAACGTGAATGCGGAACGATACCACCGTGGAAAAGAGCGTACACGATCTCCATTACGCAGGCAAACCGCCACTTTAGTGATAAGCGGTAAGCGCATTGCAGGTGGCTGCTGCCCCACCTTTCTGTCTGTCCCTCCTGTCACCAGCTGAGTCTCGTCCTTCTGATACACTACGGCTTTGAAGAACGTGTTTGCAAAGAGACTGCTGCGACGCTTGAAGGTTGAGAGGTCCCAGATGATACAACTGCCGTCCGAGCTGCAGCTCACGCATTCGTCGTACGTACTGTCCTTGATCTGAATGCAATTGACGGGACCCTTGTGCTCTTTCATGGAAGCTTCCATGACCTGGCTGCCCGAGCTGACCGCCCAGACACGAACCATCCCCTCTTCACCCCCGGATATGATCCTGCCACAATCTCCAGTGCTCGCAATTGCCGTGACTGCTCTGTGGTGGGCGTTGTGAATGCTGTACAGGAGTTTGCCGCTTTGTGGGCCGAATACACGAATAGCTCCTGCAGCCAGCGCATTCTGTTTCAGTACCATTTGAATAATGGCACTCGGATCTCCATAATTGCCACAAGAATTGTTGAGCATGAAAGCGACTGTCTGGACGTATTATTTAGTTGAGCGGTAGTGTGGGCGACTGCTTGAAAGAGCAAGTACGCACAGAGGACATGCGATTGAGGGCACTAAACCGCAAGTGGATGTGAACCATTATAAACTGTACTACCGCTTTCCTGTGATCAATAGACTAGACAAAGATTCATCAGTATCTCCAACATTTTGTGCCCTGGAACCTGGATAACATTAGGAAATGTAGGATATCATATCAAGCGAGATGATGAGGTCTATTCTGCGTCATCTGAGTGTTCTAAACTCATATCTGGTGGCAGCAAAGCTCCAACTTCGCATAGGTTTGTATGTTTCATGGGATGCACAGGCGTTGCGATCATTTGAACGGCTTAATGACGCCCCATCACCGTGAAATTAAAATGCTGCACTGGCACACACACACACACACACACACCGCATGTGCGAAGTTTGGGTGCCACATTGCAGTTGCCAGCAGTGCACCCAAGCTGCAGCTGCTGGAAACAACAAAAAGGAACCGAGCATGGCCAGCCTGATAAACCGCCATGCCAAATCCATGAAGTCTGTTACCTAATGCACCAGCATACCGTCGCTCCATCCACTGACGATCCCGGAGCCGTCTCCGAACACGGAGACACAATGACACTCCAAATTGGGCACCTGGATCCGCAGAACCTCGCGGCAGGTGTCCAGGTGCCATACGCGGACGCTGCCGATGCTGCACGTCACGAAAACATCACTAGATTCCCCCACAACCGCCAAGTCATTGATTTTATGCGAATGCGCCGTCTGAAGGAGCTCAGATGCAAACCTGTAGACAACATTTTGATGACGTCAACATCTCAGTTGCGCTGCATTCGGAATCGGACTGGAATCCGACAGTTAGGAGCCGTTTCGTGCTGCCTAGTTTTAGCCCTTTGCAAGCCCCTTATATCTTTGCAACACTTCTGCAGCATCGTGATCGTGTTACACCAATGTGCTTTCTGGACATCGAGATCTATAGTTCCAACACAAAATGCAAGCGAATGCGAGAAGATAGTTACGCTGCCGCTCTTCAATCCACTGGAGGCTCAACGTGGAACATGGATTGCTGAGCGGAATGCTGCGATAACTCCACCATCCAACTTCAAACAGTGGTGCTCAGCGAAAAAGACGGTTGCGGCAGGCGGGAACGAACCAAAGTCGATACTGTGCCCCAACTGGAGCCGCACCTCATGTCCCTGGAGTTCCAAATGACACGATAGATATTGCAGTTCTCGGTACCCAAGAGCAGCGACACACCGGTCTGCGTCTCGCTTTCCATTACAAGGGATACAATGGCCCCATCAAGCCGGGTGACGTCCACTTCGGAAATCTTTTTCATGAACTTCGGATTGGCGGTCTCCGGTGGCACCTTGAGCAGCCGCACGCTGCCATCACCGGCTCCCACAAATAGGCGGCCTTGGGGGGTGCAGCACGAAGCCGTCACTCCCAGAGGGATTGGGCCCTTGGAGACTCCGAGATTCTTCATCAACCTCATTTCTATGCTGACCTGCAGATTAGGGGCGGCAGCGCCACCATCAGAATGCAGCAGGGAATGGAAGAGCGAACAGGGACGAAGAAGTGATCGCGGCCGCTGTGTAGAATACCTGCCTGCAGTATATCACCAGAGGTAGTCCCGCAGTACACAAACCGATCCTGACTGTCAATGCACATACAATTGAATACTCGTTTCAGCTGCCCCAGTTGAACTTCCAGCTCGCGGAGCTTGTTGTTGGGGCCGTCGTGCTCCCAGATATTCAGGTTGTACTTTCCTGCCGTGATGATCACGTCGCTGTTGTTATTGAGAAATTTCACACACAGGGTGAAATCCGAGTGTGTTGGGCTTCCGCAAATAGAGGCTCCAGTTTCAACATTCCACAGAACCTACGAGCGCAAAACAAACTCCAGAATCGATGAAATTCCCACGCTCTCGCGCTATTGTGCTGTCTATTCGATACTGCTACGACACACGTCTTCGCCAGAATCTCTTCCTGTATCGATGGCACAGAGCCGCACGCCATTAAGAGCAATCTCCGGGAGCAACCGTTGGATAGAGCGGCAAAGAGTGTACGCCTACCCACTCCGTGAATTTCTTAAAATACATTCTTCAGTATTTGTACCTCGATCGAATTGGAAGCTATTGGACAATCTAATCATATCCCTGTCCTCGCGATGCAGCGAGTGCAGTAAGAAAGCTGAAATCACCAAAAACACTACATTCTTTGTATAAGGCACCAATTCTTGAATGCGAAGTGTGGCAGTGCAAAACGTGGGAAGATGCAAGCATTCATTGGGCTGAAATCAAACATCATTCCCTGAGATTTTCACATTTGATGCAAATAAAATGGAAGATATTTTTCTCACCAGGGAGTTGTCATCCTGCCCACCTAGCGACACTAGGTACTGATCGTCAGCAGAGAAGTCGAGATCCTGCACCTTCACCTGCCATCCGCAGTGTCGAGATACATGTCAACGCCATGAAGCAAAGCCATATCTAC